CACCCACACCCACACCCACACCCACACCCACCCACACCCACACCCACACCCACACCCACACCCAGACTTAGCTCCTATGGACTACCATTTGTTCCGTTCTCTTTCTAACCATTTGAAGGAGAAAAAGTTCGACGACGAAAACGACCTGGAAATGGACCTCCTCAACTTCTTTGGCCAAAAGTCGTAGGACTTCTACGAACGCGGGATCCTTTCTCTACCAGAGCGTTGGTGACAAGTCATCGATAGTAATGGAGTATACATTGTTGAAAGCTAGTTGTATTCTTGATATTAAAAAATAAAAATAAAATTTTCAAAAAAAACGACAAAACTTTCTTACCAACCCAATAATAGGCCTTGGAGACCTATGGGTACCTCTATATAATAGCTCTCGAGGTCATATGGATACCCCTATATGATAGTCCTTGGGCACCTATGGATATCCCTATATAATAGCTCTTGAAGACCTATGGGTATCCCTAATGATAGGCCTTGAGGACCTATTATGGGATCAGTTCATAGAGCTGAACTGTTTGAAAAGTTTCAGTTCATTCAAAAGAACTGCTGAGACAGTTCAGTTCAAATGAACTGAACTGTTCTAAAAAGTTCAGTTCGTTCAAAAGAACGGTTTGAACAGTTCAGTTCGTTTAGTGAGCGTTTTGAACAGTTCATCAGTTGTGAACTAAAGCTGAACTTGTCGACCTCTAATAAAGATCTGAGATACGAGAATCAAACCGTTAGTATGTTGGCGATTAACGCATTTTGCGTTCGAAGTATATGGAGTTTTCTTGCTAAACAAAAGAGTAAGAAAGCAGATAGAATATATTATTTTATTCTTTATTTTCAGAACATCTAGAGAAATGAACACCACAACGCCAGGACCATCTCAGCGTCACGGATCTTCCCAATCACAACAAAATCTCGGTGCAAGCGCAGCATCATCATCGTCACCAGCATCAATCATAGACCCGGCTGCTTTTGAACTTTACACAAGATTAAAAAAAATTGCCAAAGATTATAACCTTGAAAGTAAGTTACAAATACCACAATTGGTTATAGTTGGTGAAACATCAGTTGGTAAATCAATGTTAGTACAATACTTTTTACGATTTCCATGTTCATTTTCACAAGCCAAAGTTGCAACACGTTGCCCAGTTGCATATCGTTTACGTTATAATCCCAGATTGAATGATGGCGAGATCAAAATCATAGAACCTGTAGGGTTAACACCACAAAAATTAGCTGATCATTTAGCAGACTATATGAAACAAATTGAGAATACTGATGGGTTTCGTCTTGAACCACATACAATTGAGTTGGAATCAAATGCATATAGTGATTTTGAAATATTAGACATTCCAGGTCTAGTTGGTGGAGAAAGAGATGAACGACATCGAAAAGCGGTAGAGCGTATCACAGAAGCGTACGTGCGTAATCGAAACTTCATGATTGTTCAATTAAGAGAGGCTCATCAACCGCTAGTAAATGCAAATGGTATGCTTACAATTTATAGATTATGCACTAGTGTACCAGCTGAGTATAATCGAGATTTGCCACCACGTCCAGACTATCTTGATCATACTGTGACAATACAAACAAAATTTAATATTTTTATGTCAGAAAATACTAATGCTAAAGATGTTAATAATTTAATCGACGCTATGAAAATTGAATATGGGGGTAAAACATATTTTACGAATATGATTTTTGACGGTTATACTATGTCTGACCATTTATACGATGAAAATGTGAAATATATTGCTGATTTACCGGAATTAGAAAAGGAAAAAGTCAATGAATGGATTGAGAAACTTAATCAACCAGCTCATGCACAACCAAGCAGATTTGAATTCTTCAATCAACAAAATCGTCCATTGATTGGAATTGATATTGTAAGAACGAAAATTCAAGAATTATGGATCAAAGTAAGTGCCGAGATCAATATTATTAGAAGTCTAAATCGTTGAACGTTTAAAACTCAAATGTTGTCTTTTTCAGGCTATCTACTCTGCTTTACCCGACTTGAACGTTGCTATTCATGAACAATTAGTGAATGCACGACAGCGATATAATGCAGCCTTAAAGCAACTTGAACAACAAAATCCCAAAACTGTTAAGACAGACTATACCAATTATATCAATGATTTTCACTCCGTGTTTACATCATACATAAATATGAAATCAGAAACTGATATTCCGTTCAGCTATTCTAAATGTAGCAAAACTTACGCCGATATTGAATGCGAATACGAACAGTGGAAACGCCGTATACTACATACATGGCGTGCATATTTATCTTATAAGGACATGAAGCAATTGTTTACTGATAGAGAAGAATATGGCGATATGCTAAACACATTAGACTGTCCATTAGCCGGAGCACGTCATTTTCATCGCTTAGAACAGGTATTTAAAGCTATGATATATACATTTAAACCACGACAGCTTACTCGTGGTGAAATTGAAACCGCAGAATCGCACATCGCATATAGTATTTCAACTGGAGAAAATTTAGAAAAAGCTACACGTGAATTAGTTCGAAGTTTAATTAGAGACACTTTTTTAATTGGTATTTGTTGGTTAACACAAATGTATATATTTTTATGCGATATGCTTCAAAATGACGTTACGAAATATCTTCTATTTACAGCAAACCAATATCCACAGCTAAGAAATCACTTTCGATTTTTACATTGCGTTGAATTATCTTATCATAAAACAGTACGCACAGGTGTACGAGAATCTCTTCAGTTAATCAAATTAGCACGAAATGCATCAACATCTTATATTACACATGATTTAACAATAAATATTAAGAAATTAGCTTATTCTATACCAACAGAAATCAAACACAAAGAATTGGACGGATTGAACAGGAGAATGACGATGTCTATGAATGATCACATTGTCCAAGTAAATAACCAAACAACAGGTGCCGATATTTTTGAACGTATATCACCGGCAAAGATTCAAAGTTATCTCTATGCATCCGAATCCTACTTAACGGCAGATCGTAATCCACAGACAGCTAACCATCATGATCATGGACAAAGAGTAATATTAGAAATGTATTCAGCTGTACGTGGTCAATTAATACAGATAATAATAGCAGCATTTAATACCAGTCTTTTAATAAAACTACATGAATTTGATACAATACGACCTGATATCAATTCACTATACGGACGTCTAATGGGAATGTCTGATCAACAAATCGTTAGAATGGCCAATGTAAAGTTTGATGAAATACGAAAAGAATTAGACAAGATTGAAGCAGAAATTATTGATTTAGAAAATGTTCGTTTTTATATTGACAAAGCCATGAAACAATCAATTTCAGGAGGAAATATTTCAGCTGCTGCGAGCGATAATCTACAACATGATTCAGAAGAAGAAAATAACGCTAGAAAACAGCAGCTGAGGAAAAAACGAAAACATATTGAAAAAGAATTGGGTAAACTTCGAACTATTGATCATGAAACAAACGCAATCGAAGAACAACATGATGAAAGCAATGGCAGTGACGACGAGGAAATGGAAGATTACGTGAGTCAATTAATAAGATCACGAAGTAAGATTGAAGCAAATCAATTATTGGCGAATATCTACAAAGAAGAGGATAGTCAAGATATGGAGGCGGCATTTTTGAAAGGAGATAGTCTAGACGCAGATAAACACGTACCCAAAGCACAACGACATCTTGCTCTAGTCGCGGATAGAACAACATACGATGCTGTCGATCTACCACAAACACCATTGTCATCTGCACCACTACCATTTCCATTCCCAGCACCGCAGTCGGTTTCTCCACAATTTTCCTCAATAACGACAACAATGCCATCAGCATTCGACCACAGTCACCAACCATCATCCGTTCAAGGAACTGCTGCTCCTTTACCCCGATCTGATACATACTTAGACAGTTTGTAGAATTCTATTGACATTTCATTTGCATTTTCTACAGATTTCTAAACTTCTTTTAGTGTCAGCAACCATCGACGATCAATCAGTATCAAGTGCGAATTCTGTTGAATTATCGTCTGGATCATATGATATTGACACTGCGACAGGCAGTCTGGACGGTATTGTCCCGAAATTCGAAAAAAAAAATCCGGAAGAAAATATCCGGAAGAAAAAATCCGGAAAAAAATAAATCTAGAAAAAAATCCGGAAAAGATAAAATCGGGAAAAATTCTGTAAAAAGATTCAACAGTTTATTTAACAAAGAAACATGAACAATAAAGAAGAGAAATCATTTGATATGAAGAGAAGTGATGTAGTTCACTTTTTACTAGCCACCAATAAAGAGAGTCCCTCGAGATATTCGCGCGGTCGATCTCATCGGCCTCGAAACGTTTGGCAAGAGTATTGATTTTAGCTTGTAAAGCCAGAGTCTTCTTCGTCTTCGTTTTTTGCGCACCTGTTAACACCTTGAGCACTTGTTGCCGAAAATACACTTCTTCGTTTTGCAAGCAAGTGACGAAGACCCACATGTTCGGATGACACCTGTTCATTCGTTTGTTGAAACGATTATTCGATCCTTCGACGTTGTTGTTCGTGCGCACGTTTAATTCGGCCACGTTCCATAGGCTGAGCTTGACGTTCTTCATCCAATGATCTCGAAAGTAGCCGATGAGATCATCGATAGAATCAGGCGCTTCGTCTACTACTACTTCCTCGAAGCCGAGTGCGAGGGTGTGGGTGCGGGGTGGATGTGGGTGTGGGTGTGGGGTGGGTGTAGGTGTGGGTGGGTGTGGGTGTGGGTGTGGGTGAGGGGTGTGGGGTGTGGGGTGTGGATGCGGGTGTGGGTGTGGGTGTGGATGTGGGTGTGGGTGTGAGTGTGGGTGTGGATGCGTGTGAACGAAAAGATAACACCAATAGCTGCACCCGCACCCATACTCACACCCACACACCCACCCACACACACACCCACCCACACACACACCCACACACCCACACACCCACACCCACACCCTAGCCACCCCACCCACCCACACCCACACCCACACCCACACCCACACCCACCCACCCACACCCACACCCACCCACCCACACCCACACCCACACCAACACCCTTTATGAGTTTTGTAAAACAAATTCCATACGATTCCTCAATGCCTACAAAATGTAGATGTAGATACTGGTCTGTGTACGACTGTAGACAAGGGTCTAGGTGTGGATGCGCTGAAATATCGTCATAATTAATAAATCTCGGGTGTGGGTTGATGAACATTGACCTTTCCGCTCACACCCAGACGTTATTGAAAAAAGTTACAATTTTTGAGTTAATCAGAGCAAAAAAAAATGAATGCGTTACATGAACTTCTTTGAATTTTCTCTTTAAGAGAGATCCAATTCTCGATTTATAGCTTCAACACAAGTAAATAAACACGATTGGATAGCAACAGAACGGCTGCATCTTCCAGGATTGACAAAATTTGTTGATTTCAGGGATATACATATCCGAGATATGCTTATCCTAGTTTTAAAGTATTCTTCAATTCGAACTATTATCGGAATTTTAAAAAAAGAGCATCGAGCAAAATGCTTATAACTTTTGAACGAAGATAGCTAGAGCCCTGCGGTTTTCACCATTCGAAAGGGAAGACAAGGGGACGTCTTTTCCTTCAATATTGTATAGGACGAAATCATTTAAGAATCAGTCATCTCTAAAAAACATCGAAAAAATGCATGAAAATGATCTGTCATTCCGATGAAATTTTGGTTCTGACATCTGATCTAGATAGAGGAACTTCAGATGTATAGTTCAAGATATAATTCGAATGATTATCTTTCCACCTCCTAATGTTGAACAAATAAACTTGTCTATTCAATCGCACGAAAACTATAGAGTTATTTTGAGTTTTAAGCGTATTTTCTTACTTTTTGTCAAAATTTCATCTGAATGATAGACCGTTTTTTATACATTTTTTCGATATTTTGTAGAAATGACTGATTTTTAAATGATTTCGTCCTATACAATATTGGAGGAAAAGACGTCCCCTTGTCTCCACTTTCGAATGGTGAAAATCGCAGAGCTCTAACTATCTTCGTTCAAAAGTTATAAGCATTTTGCCCGATGCTCTTTTTTTAAAATTCCGATAATAGTTTTTATATTAGTTCGATTCATGACAAGAAACTGCAAAATGAAAAAGAAGGAAAATTTTATATATAATCAATGAGATTAGCTTTTTTTCTTCGAGATAAATTTCAACGAATCCATAATCGAATATCATGAACATGAAACGTATCTCTCATTATCGTACATGTTGACGGTAATTGTTGGCGTAACCATTCGACAAGTTCATCATCTATCGATGATGTTAAAGCATTTTCTTCTGTCCAATTATCATCTAGACATTGAACATTTAACGCTTGAAGATTAGACATATTATTCACGAGATTAAGTATATTTCTTCGATTTTTAACTTTAATCAAAAGTGTTTCACACTGAATACCTAAGGATGAATGACTCAGTTGTACACATTGTTCCTCATCAAAACCACAGTTGTGACCTTGTAAATCCAATCGACGAATCGAAGTACTTGTAATTTCCATCAGTAATAATTGATGATTGGATAATGGCCAATAAAAACAACGCAATGAATGAAGACGAACTGCCCGATCAAGTAAGAGTTGTAGTTGTGACTGAATATTACTATGGTTTTCATTTTCACTTATGGAAACGGTGAGTGAAATGAGTCGATCAAGTCTGCAAACTATTGATAAAAATAAATCATGGAATGGTAATGATAATGAAAGAGACTGAATATTACAAAATCGAACATGAGATAGGATCGAAACTGTAAAATGTGAAGATCTATAATGTAAATTAATCACACGATCGCATGTCAAATATTCATTATCATATGGACAAGTCAATTTTGATAGTATACAATTTGTAACATCAGGAAAATCTTTAAATGTATATGGTAAAGTAAAAATATTAATATAATAGCGTGTATCTGGTTTATCTTGACGAAACAAATGACATTGAACAAACCATTGATGTTCATCAATCCAAAATTTTGTTCGAAATGAATCAAGGATTTCATTGAATTGAATCTCTCCATATTCGCTAGTAGCTACAGAACTTGTCTTAAATTGTAAGATTTTTAATTTAAGTAAATATTTATTAATCATTTCTTTCCATTGATTTCCATTTAAAATGAAGTAATATGTTTCTATCGTTAAATGATATAAATTAGGCATATTTTGTAAAAGATGTTGTAAGATAATTATAGAACTTTCGAAGGAAATATTTAATCGAGTAATTGATAGAATAGGTAATAATGAGGAGTTCAATTGATCAGAATCATCATAAAACATGATTGAAAGATATTGAAGATAAGGTGTGCATTGACATAAACGAGTTAGTGTAGACAAGGAACAAGTCATATTTCGAATATTTAAATGTCTAAGTGATGTAGATATAACTGTTGGATTAGGAAAATAATTTTCATCAACAAAACAATTATCCAGATAACAGTAAGTTAGTTTTGATAGACTCCATATATGATCAAACAAACGTTGTGCATCATTTTCACTCATTGATACAAGATTCTCAGTCAAAGTAAGATGGGTAAGACAAGGAAGATAAGAACATTCAACCATTATTTGATTGAGTGTTCGTTGAGATCTAAGACATGATAATGATATTGATTTTAAAGATATAAATTGACGAAGTTGATAATTATGAGATAGAAAATGTTCAATTTGTTGTGGAGTATTATCATCATTTGAAAGATAAAGAGAAATAATTCGATCGATAACTGGTAGAACATAATTTTGACATACTTGATGAAAATTTATTTTTGATGTTAATCGTAAATCGAGATGAAATTTTTGAAATTGTTGACAAAGTAATTTGTTAAAACGCGAGTTGAGACCAAAGAAACTTTGATAAAGATGAATAAGAGAGAGATATTCGAATGAATCAAGTATTATTTCATTGGGTAATAATTCAAAATTCATTTTATTTGAAATATATGTTGAATGTGATACGAATAAATTCGATAATGCTTTTATATTTGTTGTGCGTAAGAGAAAACAAAAAAAGATATGACGTTGATATTACTCTTATTGCTATTCTTTCGCTTCGATATTTATTTTGACATCACTTTTTCTTCTCTTATCATATGTAATTGCAACTGACACGTGAAAGAACAATCATCGTACGATCTTTTTTTTCTTTTGTTCTCATAAATTTTATTGTATTCGTAAAACAAAAATGAGTCATAAAATTGTTATTGTGATAACAGTCAATTAGTAGTTTAAATGAACTTTAATAAACATTCTAAATTTGAGCGCATAAGAAAAAGTGAAAAATAGAGAAACAAAGATATATATTCATTTCAGAAGAAAACGTCATAATTAAAAGACTTCTAAGGAGTCAATCAGAGAAAAATACTATGCTTGCTTAGATATTATTTTATGGAATCAAAATTATAGACCGATATGTATTCATCAGATGATAGGTCAATGTATCGAATATTCGAGTGCTATTTGATTTTTTTTGTTTGAATCGATTCTAGTAAGCTATTATCTTGAACAATTGCATACTTTATCGTAACTTAATCAAATTACAGTATTGTCAGAAGGAATTTGATTTAAATTCAAAAAGATTCTATTTCAGTATGACATCGTATTCTTATCAATTGAAACGATTTGTTTGTTTTCTGATGATACAAATTCGATACATTTCTATGCGAATTTGTCTATTAAAAAAAATGTTTAAAATAATAAACACAGGGAATTATCATAGTCGAGAAATATCATATGGTTTATCAATGCATTCCTATTTAAACAATCTCCTCCATTTTTATTTGCTAAATTTAGGTGTGGGTGTGGATGTGGGTGCTGAGTATAGGTGCGGATATGCGCTTCTCTTCCTCATCCACACCCACACCCACACCCACACCCACACCCACACCCACACACCCACACCCACACCCACACCCACACACCCACACCCACACCCCACACACCCACACCCACACCCACACCCACCCACACTCACACCCACCCACACCCACACCCACACCCACCCACACCCACACCCACCCACACCCACACCCACACCCACACCCATACCCACACCCATACCCACACCCACACCCACCCTTACGGCAGTAAATCCCGCGACAGTAAATCTCGCGGCAGTAAATCCTGTACACGGTTTCGAAGTAATCGACACTTTATTCTAAAAAAGCGGTAACTCACAGACTATTGATTACATCCATCTGTGTCCTTCTTTACAACTCTATTACAACTTTGCTCAGTAGCAGAATCATTCAAGTATCTTTGAGCTAATGAACATTAAGTATTTTCTTCAGTATAAAATACTTTGAGAATTAGTTTGCGACCACATTGAATATAAAGCGCAAAAAATACATTAAAATATAGTTTATTTTATTTCTACGCATTATGGGTGCTTTTTCTTACGTGCCTTTTGTTTGTGTTTGATCTTGCAGTACATGGCTACCGTCGCATAAACAGTTTGCATTTCTTTCCCCGAAAGAAGGCAGTTGCTTCTTTCCACTTTAGATTTACGACAAACATTACGATGAATATTTTTCTGCCCATATTTTTTGTTTTTTCATTTCTTCACAGCAGCGACTCTGTTTTTTTTAATACTGTTTGTTTGTCTTTCATCTCACAGTTCAAGGCAAGTGTTTCATACGCACTTTGCGCTACTTTCGCCGAAAGAAGGCAATTACCTCTTTCCATTTCAAGTTCATCACAAACATGACCACGAATATATACACTATTCATGTTTCTTTTTTCATTCTAGAGAGCAGCACGGCAAATTTTAAAATCATGTTTGTGCTTTTTTACATAGCAACCGATATTATTCTTATGAGTTTTCAACTTGCAGAGAATACTGTAGTTCGAGAAAATCACTCAGATACCAATAAACATTTCTTATCATCACCAAATTAAAAGAAATCTGCATATAACAAAATCTACATTTTTCATGTATTTTGCCTACTCGTACGAACTGTCTATTCGATAGAGTCGAATTTATATTCACTATAAAAAACAAGATTCCTATGGCATCACCAGCAGTTTCGCCTTTCTCACCGACCAGAGATCGTTGAAATTATTTACAATAATTTCGCTAAAATCGGAAGCATGAATCAATCGAGATTCAGATTTTCTTTTCATTTTTATTTACCTTGTTTACTTTTCAATGTTGCAATGTCTAAAGCAATTTTTTTCTTGAGCTGTCTCTATTTCTCTCGTCTGATGACGAAACATAAGACTTATAAGCACAAATTAATAGTAAACAGAACCATGAAAAATACGAAATTCGGTTTTTTTAACTTTCTCCCCAGTAACGTACTATTACTATTTTACGTTGTTTATTGATGTGCACTGCTGAAGCTTAACGTATTTGTCAACTGAAAATAGAATTTTCTTGGTATTGCAGAATGATAAGAAAAAAGCATTATAGAGAATAATTCAAATGTTTCCCTTTTGTGTTTTGTTGATGTCATGTTGGTTGGTTCCTCTCTATTATAGTATCCATGTATATTCACTATGGAATCTTGGAACGATCGTCATACCAGTCTTTTGGTTCACATTAGTCTAGATGTATACATATACTCAGAAAAAAAAAGATTTCTTATTCTAACACAGAGTGCCTATTCAATTTCATTGTATTTCACGTCACAATTCTTATTGAGTTTGGACTTCGGATAAGGAACTTCGTTCTTACAATCTGTCTATTCTGACATAGGGCGAAGATCTTGATTCTTCATTTCTTATCAGATAAAACTAATAGAACAAACAATACTAGTATGGAACTATATTTGGTCATTCCACTCACTAAATCGATTCTTAGAAAATGAAGGTGTTGTGTTTTCAAAAATTCTTCACTGAAGTAGCAAAGCCTTCTGAAGACAATTGACAGTTAGACAGCAGTTTTAGAATGATTTTAAATAAACAGTGGATAAATATTTCACAAAAGTCAGTTAATCTCAATGTATGTTTATCAAGTACCCTTCTCACCGTCGAAGTTTGCAATGGATATGATTATAAATAAATCTAATTTCGTTCTTTTTTTTTCATTTATTTGCATTATAGAATGTTTATTCATTCATTCTACATGCCTGCTGTTGAGATGCGAGTTAGTGGTTGCACAAACAGTTTAGATTTCTTTTATTGAGTATTGAGGGTAACCGTAGACACGATCATGAATCAACTAATATTAATGTATTTACTTTGTCGCCTATCGATAGAAATTCTTGATTATTTTTTTCATTTGTGTTTGTTAATGAAGCTCAAGAATTTCAGCATACGCAATTTTCGATTTTTTTCAGCGAAAAGTATTGAGAGCCACCTCATACCATGACTTCAGAATAAACATGAGCATGAATAATTCAAAGTTTTTTTAATTTTTTCCCAGTAAGAGAATTTTTCTCTCTTCCTCTATATATTCATGTGTATTCGTAGCTGATGCCAGAGACGACGATTGCAACAGTAGGTTTCATGTCTCACGGAGACGAACAAGTCGAAATTTCAGTTTTTTTCCTGTATTTTGTAAGATATTGATGTAGGTATATATATAATTTTTAGGATGATACATGGGAGCTACGATCATGAGTTGATTGTGAGCTGCCAAAACTTATAAGAGGCTTATTTATTCATTGAGAACATATTCTATATAATTCTTATGAAAGAACTGTATGTGTTTGTCTAAACATGCTAGGAAACTTATCGAAAAGTCCTCATAGGTTCCAATGGGAATACATTTCGGTAACTGTTGAGCTTCGATAAAAAAATTCTCAATAGTTTGTCTCTTTTTAACATTTAGCCTATATAGTAGTCATTCGGACATCTTGTAACAAGCTTCTGATTGCAATTTTCCATAATATTAAGCATAATCAAGACTTATTCTTGGCTATGATAAAAATAAAGTGATTCGATGTGATCGAAATTCATTTTATTTCATCTCTTCATAGCAATTGCACGCTGGTTTTAAAATTTCATTGATGCATATATATTTACAAACTTAAGACTGTCCTCAAACAAGTAGCTTTCATCTATCACACCGAACAGAAATAGTTACGGTAGTTATCACTATAGCTTTATTATGTACATGAAAATTAGTAAATAAAAATTCATATTTTCATTCCTTTTATGCTAGTTATTACAACTGTTTTTTATTCACCAAAGTAACTCGTATAAATTATTTACATTTCATCCATCCAAGGAACCGTATCACATTTTAAGATATAAAGCGCTTTTAGTGATACAAAAACTTTTTTAATGATGTACAGATTTTATATAATCCTCTTGATTCATTTATTATGGTACTTTTGCTGAACGCTGTTGACTACTATTCCCTACAACAGTGACTTGAAAAATTTCATTAATAATAGTACGAAAAATAGTCTAAAATCGTCAATAACACTGTTTCGGTTTCGCTAAGAGTAATTTATTTCATTTTCGGATTTTTTTCTTGCTAATTGGCATAAGAGCAACTGTAGATGAGTAAACAATATGTTCGCTTAGTTTAACTTGACTTCAATCATTCATCATTGAATGAAAAATACTGATGGATATCCATAATTGCACAACATCAGTGTCAATATCGATCTTTCCTACGACTGAGTGAAATTTCTTTCTGACAAAATTACAAAGACTATAATAATGTTAGTAGTATATTTTAAACATGTGTCTTTGTTTTGTGAAACTTTAGATTAAATACTACAAAGCATTTTTACGACATTAACACAAACTTCAACGAACATCAATTCATTTGGTAAGTCTTATGCTTATATATGTTGAGGGATTGGTGGGATTTGTCTTTTGTGGGTTTACTTCTTCTAGTGGATTCAGTTATGTTGTCCCTATTTATTAATTATGATAATATTTCAGTACATACAGACCCAAGGGGGAAAAAGCAGATTTCAAGATTTCAAGATTCTGAAAGATTTCCAAAGATTTCTAGAGATTTCTAAAGATTG